TTTTTGTTTGAAAAAAGACATTTTTCGAATGAAAATGTTTTTGAAATCAATATGGAAGAACAATAGAAAACAGAGTTGAAATACGTAACAGAAAACGGTAAGTTTCAGTAGCCATCGGTTTCATTTTTGAGTGGCTTTATCCTGTTAATGTTTGTGATGTTTTATACTGAAAGACGATGAGATTTTTTGATACATATTTTAACTGTATTATAGTATTGAGATTTATAAAAAGATGTATCTAAATGTTAAGAATCAATTCCAATATTGCAGATTGTTATATACAAATGACAAGGAACAATACTTCATGATGTTCTGGTAATTTCACATACCAGAACCCGTTTAAAAAAGCGAAATAATAAAACAATCATAGTCAAGTAGTGAAAAATTAACTTAATAGTTGGATCTAATTAGATACCATTATTGGAATTCTTTAAAATTGTGTAGAAATCTTCAGAAATATTGCCGAGAACTGGACGATGGAATTACAACAGTATCGCTTATATTGGAATCTGATCGAATCGTGTGGCAGAATAGCATCTGTATGTAATAGAATATCATAAGCACGGACGACACCTCAAAAAAATGAGACAATGGAATCATTTAACTTGTTAAGACCGAATACTCCCCACGGTCGAATATCAGTCGTGGACCACACGACTGAAAACTATGTAAAGCATGTGACCAGGAATGGTGCAAATATCAGCAAGAGAAAAAATGGGATTCCAAAGCGATCTAAAGAAAAAGAAAACAAATAGTAACTTTGAAGTTTTTGTCTTTCTTGTACATGCAATCGTTTTCTTCAAATAATAGATAAGTTTACATTGTAAAGACTATTTTGAGATATTCACTGTAGAAATATATTGGAAACGTTAATCGAAAATGATACTATTCGGAAGGGAAAACAGTCGAAATGAACAGTAGTGTCACTTTTCATACTAGCTCTTTGGAAGGAAACTGGAGAAGAAGAAGGTTTCTCTTCGATCTTGCTTTTTCGTTGTTAGCAGGCGAATCCACTACCACTAAAATACCGTTTTCTTTTTTCGAGTCGTTTCTCTACCGCTAGTATGTAGGTTCTTGAGCATTTCGGATTAGAAACAATCAACTATTCATTAATGGTAAATAAGAACAGTTCTCAACACAATCGAATATCAATAAGAATTACACATCGTTTATCAACAATAGAAAATGCAGAATCATTTTGGAAAGTGGAAGTCATGAAGAATTACTTGCTCTTGGTAATCGATTAGTACAAGAAAAACTAACATAATTTATTATAATAAAAATTCTTTTCAAAACTTAAATATGGCATTTTATTCAATCATATATATGCACTATGAAAGTGTATTATTAAAAAAAGGAAAAATATTTTGTATAATAAAATCTTGATTAGGTGCATGTGGAACATCTTGATGACGTACATGAGAAGTAAATGTATATAATTTTCCTTGTTCCCATAATGTTCTTAATCCAATAAGATCTTCTTTAAATTGTCTTGAATTATTCCATGTTTCAACATGAAGTGAATTCGGTGCATAACCCATAAACCAACCTGAATGTCTTGGTGTAACAATTTCATCAATATCCGAATAAGTCATAACAAATGCATTTAATTTCAACATATTTGTACGATATGTTTCATTTTGTATTTTACGTTCATTATTTATATCCGGAAGAAAATGACAATCAGTTGTATATTTATTCAATTGATCCGGATCACGCCAATAATTCGCGACACTAATTACATTTTGTATTGCATCTTCATATGCATATTTTGTAATTAAATCACGAAATTGTATAGGAAGTTTAAGAAGATATGGCAAACCGAAGACACCTTGATGAACACCACTTAATGTTATTAAATTATAAACAGGTAATGAACATTTTTCAAGAGCACCACGTACAATAATACTTCCTTGAGAATATCCAAGCATATTAAAACCTTGACGAAGATTTTTATCATCAAGAACCGTTTTACAAAAATGTTCGACTTGTTTTTCTATTGACCATAAAAATGAATCATCTTTACCATTACCAATTTCAATTGATACAACATAAATACCAGGAAAAGATGTTCGAATCCAACTAGCTAATTCATTCATATCATCAGCTGATGATACAATACCATGCATAAGAACAACTGGTCGATAAATTGAACTTGAAAGAACAGTTGTAATGAATAAAAGAAAAACAAGACGAATCATTTTTAATTGCTATTCTATTGTTTTGTTTTTTATTCAATTACTTAAAACAATGGCTCTTTTATACTTTTTTTTAAACATATTTAAATAGTTAACTAACAGACATCTGTTAATTCCCATACAATGTACTTCGCATATTTAGCCCATAGAACAATATTATTTGGGCTTTCATTGAAAAATATTTTAAAGATAAAACTTATTTTAAAGTTTTAGAAATTAAAATTGTCAACACTAAAATAACCTACATTGTCAAATATTTATTTCTAATCAATGAATCTCATTTAGTTACTAATAATAATCTTGTATGTATAATGGATAAAAAACAAAGAGAAAAAAATAAAACTTTATCATTTATATTCATTGCCAAGATTATACAATGGTAGAATGAAAACTTTGACTATTTAATTTTTTGTTTTAGAAGATTACAAGTAAGATCAAAAGAAGTTCTTCAGGATTCAACAAAAACAAATACTTCATTTTTAAAAATATGTATTCATCTTTTTTTCGGATGTCTATGACCTCACAAAATATGCATTTGTATTCTATCAAGACATTGTGTATACAAACGTAAAATTATTCGATTATTTTATCAATGATAATTCAGGTCAAAATTTTCTTTTGCTTCAATTCAAATTTATAAAAAACTTCATAGAGCGAGACACTCTAATCAATATTATTAATTTATAGAAATGATAAACTAGAATGATTTATCTCATAAAATGGTGTATAATAAAACATTTTTTTTCTAATTTAAAAATATTTTCTATTCTATACCAGTTATTCAATAATAGGACATATTCTAACAGTAATTTTTAGAATAGAATACTTTTATTCAAATATAAAAAAAAATTTAAATTCATTCATGATCATTTGACTTTGTATTTTTTATAATTAAATATGATAATTTAAATGAAAATATGATGATAATTATCTATTAAAAAAAAAGAAACAACGACCTGTAAAATATAATTATAAAAATAAAATAAAACTAAAATCATTACATCAAGAATAACATTTGTCAAATATGTAATTATTGGAATTACAGTAAATAGTATGTGAGTCACTTGTTTAGATATTACAATTCCAACTGTAATAAATACAATGATAATACACGTGAAAATTATATTAATAATACGTAAACAGGCAAACTATTACAAAAAAAAAAAATATCAAAATTAATTATTTAAAATGAACACATAACATTAAGTTCTTACTGCAAATCAACCTATTGGATAGTATCCTTGAGTAACAAGCATTCCGAAAACATAAAACAAAATCCAACAAAGAATAATAATTGGTTCATAAGTATTTGTTCGATAATTAATTGATAATGAATAAATAATTATCATAAAACTAAGTATACAAATACACAACAAAGCAGAAAACAAAAAATCTTTAACTATCTATATTCATAAATCAAATTTATAAATACAATAGAAATTAAAAGCATAAGAATTTTTTGTGTTCGTTTTACTTCATGTATGCGATGAAATGAAATTGATTCAAAATTAAAATTAGGACCACTAATTCTTATTGTCATATTGACTAATATTTCTTCAGTAAATTTTATTTACATATATAATGCACCATATATCAACTATCCTATTCGATATGTTACTATATGGATGTTAATGATGATAGAAAAGAGAACAAAAATAGAATGACAATATTAGTTATATGACTAATAATATGATGTAGCTATGGAGATGGAATACATAAATCATAAAAGTTGAGATATAGTTAGCTGATGACGACAAAAATTGAGGACTCAATATAGAAAACATAGGAAAGTAATCACTAGTGACAGATTTGTATAAATAATTATCTTTGTAAATTATGAATATTTTTTTGTACTATTTAATCTAATTATATTATAATCAAAACAAAAGGATTTTTCTTACTATATATTTTCAGAATATGACAATAATCTCTCTAGTATGGTCACCATTGGGACCAGCCAAAAATGATCATTATTGAGAGATTATCAGTTTCTTGTTTACAACCCATGAATATCACTTTTCAACTGTACAAGGTAAATTTTTACTTCTTTCCAACATTTTAATCACAGGTAAATCAACGTGTATAGACATGATTTGATGTTATTAATTATAAACGCAAAAACGATGAGGTCTTACATCAAGCACTGTTAATGTTGTCTAATATTGTTTTATTCTCTTTTAAATATCCACGACTAGTTCATTCTCTTTTTTATAAGGATCCCATTATTGTTTATCATGAGGGTGAGGTGTGGATATGAATAGAAAGCAGTCCTATGCACATCCATATCCCTCATCCAGAGCTGCATACAGTTGTATATCTTCATACCAACCATCACTTGATTTGAGTTCTTTATGCAAATAATGAAAAAAAAACCTAATACTAATTGGTTTTTTCTTTGCTTGTTGTTCATGTTCCATTTCATCATAAATAATGTTAATGCTAGTTTGAATACAGTTGTAGAATTGAATATTTAAAGCATTTGAATATCTTCTATTATTATTTCTTTTGCAATATGTATATCATCTGTTAGAATCATACCATACGGCGCATTTCAATTTTTATACCTATCATTTAATTTAATGTATTGTTTTTTAAATATATTAACAAACCTAATTATTTTAATAACTGACCATTTTATTTATTCTACTGACTACTGACTCAGTGCAGATTAACGCACTGGAACACATTGGTATAAACAGGTAGAACTTGTCAGGTTGGTTCCGAACTTAGACTGAGTCAGATCCGAGTCCAAAAATTTAGAGCCTGATGGGCTCTACTAACAGAGCATAATATTGATAGAGCTGATGTTTCAATGCCAGTGTAACCACCGTCCCAGTGAATCTTATATCTATGATTCACTGTCAGCAGTTCAGTATTTACACCAACACTGTACATTCCTAGTGATGCCTATTACATATTATTTATTTTTTAAATAGATTCAAGAATCTTGCGTTTTTTGTTTTATTTTATTTCTTTTAATCTTGATTTTATATGCAAGAGACATAAGAATGAAGTGATAAAATTCCTAATAGGAGAAAACGTATGTTACGTAGATAAGAAGGGAAAGAGCAATATGATAAAGTACAAAAAAAAAAAATGAAGTAAACACATCCACCGACTGAAACAACGAAGAAAAAAAAACAAACAAGAAATAGAGACGAATGGAATAGCTGATAGAAAAAAAAATGGACTTTTGATTTTTTGTTGTTTAGTGTCATTGAGAAATACAGACACAAACTGATTTAAAAAAAAAAGTAAATGAAATTGTGAATTTATTCTTTTCGTAAAAGACGACGACGAGCTTTATTACTGGCTGATGGTGATGAACTTTTATTACTTTCATCTTCATTGGTTTCGGCGGCCTAGAAAAATAATGAAACGAAATAAAAAATAACATATAAAGATAAAGAAAAATTTCTTACATTAACTTCTTCTTCTTCTTCGTCTTCTTCTTCTTCTTGTTCTTCTTCTGCATCTTGTCCTTCATCATCATTTTCAAGTGCATCTTTACCCGATACATTTGTAACATTAGATTTAACTTGTTGTTCATCAATTTCAATTTCTTCAGTTTCTTCATCATTATCTGCTGATGTTAATAATTGTTGTTGTTCATTAGAATCTTGTTCAACTTCATCTTTTTTCTTTTTTGATCCATCTGTTAATTTTTTTGTTGATTTTTTTGACCAACAAAAAACAAAAAGAAGAATTATTGGTAATAATATAGCAACTAAATAAACAGCCCATAACCATGGACGTTCTTTTGTTGCTCTAACAATAGCATCAATAACACTATCCGATGCAGATGATATTGCTTTTCCTTCAAGTATTGATTTTGGATACCAAAGTTGATCAGCATATTGTTTAGCTATTGATTGATCTGATGTTAAAAGAAAATTATCAAATACAACACCATCAACCATTGACCAAAGTTCAAGTGCAAGACTACCAATTGGTGTTAATTTATATGGATGAGTTTCTTCAAAATAATCAGGATTTGGTATTTTACGTGGTTCCCATTTACCCTGAAACAAAAACAAAAAAAGATTTCAATAAATCATTTAAAGAAAAAAAA